TGTGGCTGCATTGGTGCGTCTCCTCTAATTATGCATTTTGAGATGTAAAGATGCATTTCTTGACTACCTACCAACCACAGGACCCTCTGACAACATGCCAGCTCAGTGTACATGACTTCAAAGAGCTCATACAGTCCAGAATCTGGCAGAAATCCATGCTCAGCATGGAAAAAAAGGGACTACAGATTGCAAGGATTCTAATGGATGGAACACAGTGGTCAACAAAGAGAATTGAAGGCTGGAACAAATGGTTAAAGTGGAGAAGGAACGAGGTGATGCATACCAATGGAAACTATGGAACAAAACTAGGGAGGCCAAACAAGCAAAAGATACCCAAAATATTCTCCAAAAGGAAAATGCACGCATCAAGCTCAATCTACATCTCCGTGGCTTCCGAGCTCCAAAGCAGAAGGAAAACCTCATAAAGAAGACAATGAAGAAGTGCAATAACCTTTCAGAAGAGATCTATATCAAGGAAAAGGGAGTTGTCAAGGATCCATGCTGTGTTATGATTCGGGAACTAGGAGCTATGAACATACTTGAAGAAAAGACAGATAAAGTTATCAAGACAGTTGCTAAAGCCCTAGGGATGGAAATTACCAACACAGTATCAGTGCACACAGTTGGCCGAATTATGAAAGAAGGAGGGATAGCTGCTTAAATCCAGTTAGTTTCCAAGATTGAAGCAGCAAAAGGTGAGTATACTCAAATTAAAGACCAAACTGTAAACATTGACGTCAATACATTTAGGGATTACACTGAGCTCTGATGGAACAACCATTCGACACCAAAACTATGGATCACACCACATTAATCTGAAAGTCCCTTCATATAATGGACAAAGCTCACCTGGCAGTGTATTCATGACGCGTTTTATGGGAATCGGTTCGGCTCCAAACCATACAAGCAATACACAGCTCCATGGGCTGCAATAGCAAGTTCAGACAGTATATGGCATGTATAATCAAAGCCGTCTCGGAGAGATTGGCCCTGCAGACACTATTTCCTTTCCAATGTATGTGTTAGGTTTAGGTTCTGATCATGCAGAAGATCAGAAGCAGCTCTCAAAGCTTATACTGGAATGGAAGATAATCAGTACGAAACAAATTCACGGTGAGAGGCTTGCTATTGGGCAAGACCTTGAATCAGAAAAACACAAATGTGGAGCAAGATCCTAAACTCCAGGTTGAGCAATGCCCTTCTGTAGTTTATTCAATCTTTTTATAATTGTGTGTGTGTGTCTCTGGGTATGATTTTCTTTTTCTATAGGTCCTACTTTTGACAGTAAGTTGCCTTGCTCATTTGATATTTTTTGGGAAGGAGTTATTTTTAGGATCAATCACTGAGTATCTCATAACTTTGTTGATTCTGGCTCAGGAAAGGTAACGTTGTTTTTATGGTATTGTAATTGTTGATTTATTGCTTGGTAATGCACTGGAAATTCACTTAATAAATCTTGTCGATGCTCTGTTTTGCTAGGTAGATTTCCACTTGGCTACAATCGCCGTAGTACCGTGTACTATGAGTCCTGGTGTCTCAAAAATGCGACAATAGCTCATCGCTATTTAAATCCTCACAAACACTCTCAATATACGCGGCCACGGATCACTAGCCTGGGACTACATTCAGTCCGACCTCAAGCTGCGATAGTCTCGACAAGTTATAGCACTCGGCGCTGAAACAAATCCGTATTTTTATCCCTTAGCATTCAAACATTTATAGTTTGTATAAAATGGGTACTGATTGCTTGTCCTTAACTACACTACCTACTGGTAATTTATACTACTACAAGTGTATGGTCCCAGGCCCCAACATTAATACATACAAACAGTTCACAAACAGTCCAACATTCTTAGATTCCAATTCCTATCCTTCTGGGTAACGATTGCTCAGTAGTATAGGCCCAGGCCTTAGCTGCATTCTTCGTGACTCTATACCCTCTGCCCATGTCCTCTTTTCCATGTGAAATATCCTGGTTTTTAGGTCACCAGACCATTATTCATTATTCTTTGTCATCTTTGTCTCTCTGCTTATTGATTTCTCTGCTGCACCTGACTCGCAGCTTTGCTAGATGCCTTTGCGCTTATTCACACTTTAACAGCTATCTGCATTCTATCTTTAGCAGCTGAATATAGATGCATGGTCTGTATTTAGAGCTTTAGCTATAATCCCGGCTTGGGGAGCTGTGTTCCATGCATAATGCTGTGCTTTGGATTGCTAGGGAATGTCTGTTCTGTTTTTTATGCTTGTCCCATGTAGTGGTTTAAGCACACGCATAGGTAGTATTTGAGTATCAAATGGATAGCTGTTTTTGTTAAACTGTCTCCTGGCTTGCAGTTGAGTTACAATTTACTGTAACATCGTCTGCTACCATTGTCACAGATGGCTGTCTTTAATCTCTTTATTGAATTTATGCACCGCTAATGAGTTCTCAGTCCAGGACGGCTTAAACTCCTCCACCAGCTGACTGGTATTTCTACTGATAAAAAGGCAAAATATTGTGGGTTTCATGTATAGCCGAAACCGCACCCTATCATCTCCCCCCCAGTGAAATCTTGACTGTCCTCAGTCAATTTCTGGCCCCATAGGTTTATTCCTTTGGACATTTCCCAAACTCTGCTTTGATTTTTGCATATTCAGTTGCGAAACACGAGGCTCTCACTGCGAGCTGATTTTACAACATTAGATCTCCTTTTCCAACCCATTTTCTTAGCCATTCCGTGTCCACCCAGGCTTCGAAAGCTTATTGCTCAACATAGCAACACAGTGTTTAATGCCCTATAGCCCACATTCCTCTACTATCCTTAGACAATATGGGTGTCATTTATTGTGATTTCACTTGTTCTTCACGATTCTAGGCACGGACAGCTATGTCCCATACCTGTTAGCGCCCTGATTATTGCCTGCTGCTTTGCTGCTGCTATTTTTAAACTCGTCCTTCTTTGTCTTCTTAGCTTTTAACTCTGTGCTTCTTTTGAGTTGCTATGACTCGTAGACATCCGGGCCGGACAATTGCAGTATGTGTCTCAAGGAGATCACCTCCATTTGGTCATTAGTCTACCAGATTTGGACCAAGTCCTACTCTGTTCGCTAACACCGGTATGTCTGCATCGCTACTCCGTTGGGCTTGCATGGTAATCCTCAGAGGCCCGTGCACTTTTCCCTCTAATATTTAAGATGGCCTGCTTTGCCCTCAGCTACTCATCCCACCTCCTCTTCCTTACGTTCTCACCCCACTACCATTACTCTTTAATCATGGTTTCCTATGCTGCTCGCCTCCGTCTCCAACTGCCCTTGCTTTTGAAAGCTTTCTTTTCCACCAATCTTGGTGGCACCTACTCCAACCGTATCTTGCAGACCATCTCCACTGACTTGTCCACTGATTTTTATTTCTAACTGACTTTGCCTTTATTCTGTTCTTAGAACACCTTCCTTCTCACAAATCCCCGGGCTACATTTGAAAGCCCCGAGATTTGTCGACTCGTCTACTCCATTTCCCGATTGTATGAAGACCGCCCCCAAGGAGGACCCCTGATAATGCCGTGGGAGGTCGGATACAAAATAGCCAAAATTTCGGCCGTCATAGGTGTTCGAAATTTTGGCCATTTGGGGGAGATTTTGGGTGTTTTTGTGATCCAACATACAAAATTGGGCCGATATAGGTGTTTTTTGTATCCGACCTTTAAAAATGTCTATAAAATAGCAAAAAATCTAAAAAAAATTTCTACGTCTAAATACAACCTAAGTACCATTGTCCATATCATTTTGGATGTCTTTTTTATTGGGCGTTTGAGTAAGCACTTCATGGCTTCGAGGATTGCCTATCTTGCACTAGCATCTTCGTAAAAATGTTGTCAAAAAAGCTAGACACTAATTCTACTAATTTCTAGCGCCGTTTCGTTGTTGCAGGACCAGAATATTGAAGGGGAGATAAAAAAAAAATGCAGTAGCAGGAGGATGGGCAAAATATCTTGTTTGAGCTTTGGGTGGAAAATAGCGCGGAAAAAGCACTGATTTCGATCATGAAGTTTGCTTCCAAATTTTTGCCAAATTTGCATGGAAAAGTAACATTGTTTGTGATTGTCACAGTACTTTACACTCCCCTGGGATTCCGGGTGGAATCCGGACTCATTCCGGGATTCCATGGAAATTCCATGGAAATTCCAGTCTCATTCCGGCTATTCCATGCTCATTCCAAATATTCCAGTTCTATTCCGGATTATTCCAGTTCTATTCCGGATTATTCCATATCAATTCCATAAGTTGGCTATGATATTCCATCCCTATTCCAGCCTCATTCCATCCTCATTCCAGCCTCATCCTATTAGCTAGGTTTCAAATATTAATATTCCATCTTCATTCCATATATGTTCCATTCTTATTCCATATATATTCCATCCTCACTCCATTTCCACTCCATCCTTATTCAGTCTTCATTCCATCCTCATTCCAACCTTGTTCCAGTTGTATTTTATTCTGATTCCATCCTTGTCCCAGTTATATGTTCCAACCTTGTTCCAACCTTATTCTGGCCTTATTCCATCTACATTCCAGCCTTATTCCAGCCTTGTTCCAGCCTTATTCCATTTATATTCCAGCCTCCGGGGCACTCACCTGAAGCGCCAAGCTCGACGGCGCCTTTGTCTGCTCGGCGGCCATCCATCCGTCTAGCCCTCGGGTCACAGCTTGGGCATCGCTGTCGCTGGTCGCTGGCGCTTCGTTGGTGGGTTGTCGTCGGCTGGTGACGTGGCACGCGTGGACTCACGGCTGGCAGCGGCGGGCGTGGTCGGTGGATGTCCACGGAGGTGCGTCCAGTGGCCATCGTGGCCACTGGACGCAAGATGGGTGGTGGGGGATGGTTGTGGCAGGAGTGATAGAGGCGAAGTGGCCATAGTGAGTTGATGTGGCGCGATGTGACCAAACAAATAACGGTGTGGCGCAGCACAGCACGTGGACAAACTAAATGTGATATGTGTGCTCATGTGGCCTTATTTTATAATGGTCTTGTGGCTTAGTGGTTAGAGCGCCGGTTCACCTCGGTCTGTGAAGGTGAGCGTTCGATTCTCGCTACGTGCATGTATCTACTATATATAAAAGCACGAGTTCCCACGGGGGGGAGACAAAACATAAAGATAAACTCGCAATCTGATTGGCTAGACAAACACGGCTTTACTTTAATCACGCATGTGTCACGCATTTGTCACACTACCCTCTTTCTCATTTCCACCGCGGATAAGTACTCTTTCTTTTATCTAATTCTTATGCACATGGGCACGAGCTCAAAAAAAAAATAGAAATATGTTAACATTCCACGAGCTATGTACACGGGCACGAGCTGGCTCAAAGCAGCACATGCACACGAGCTCAAAGTCAATAACAGACTCCTTTGCATGATAGTAAGTTCTCTTTCCTTTATTCTAATTCTTATGCACACGGACACGAGCTCAAAAAAAAATATATGTTAACATTCTAGCACGAGCTGGCTCAAAGAAAGGTGCACATGGGCACGAGCTGGCATGAGTCAGACACAAGTGGGACTCAAAATAAGATCATGCTCTCAATTCCACGAGCTTTGAACATGCTACTAAATAATTCTATGGCATTACTCTTATTTTGCAAGGAATTTAAGTAATTAACTTGGAGAAGGTGCGGGCATGGGCCCGGGTGAAGCCTTCGCGTCTAAATATCATACGCAACATAATTTGCGACATAACATTTGTTCCAATCAATGGCATGGTACACCCCATGCCAACGGCACGGGTCTATCGCTAGTTTTTACTCATAAATATAGCTTGTAACTGCATTCCAACGGGAATCCGGCTTATTCCGTCGGACTATTCCATGTTCAATCCACCCAAAAGGCAGTCTGGAATTGGAATTGGCATGGAATGAGTCCGGAATGGGGGCGGAATACAGCACTCAAAGTGTATGGGACCTGGGGCATTGGCAAAATGGGCTATATTCCGGATGGATTCCGTGGACATTCCATGGAATCCGGCGGAATCCGGCGGATTCCATGCGGAATTCCAGGCTTAGTGTAAAGACCTCCTTCAGAGACACCGCTTTGCCAGTTGGCACATTTCGGACAAGCTGCCGGAAGTCGCACCTACTCCTCGTCCCGGCGAGACTGATGCTTTCTGGTGGATGCCCCTCATAGACGACTCTTCGACTCCTACAGCGTCTTGCATATTGTTTTGCACAACTCAGATGCGAGTGAGCGAGCGCCTTGACAGCTTCCCATGCTCACGGCCCCCAAAGCGGACAGGCTCCGAGCAGGGTCCCGAGGGTGACCGGAGGCACCAGCGTGCACGAAGCAGGGATGGGACGGCCATCATCGGCATGACCGCAAGCGCGGTGATGCGCTCTGATGCGCTAAGGCACTCACAGCATGCGCTGATATTGAACGAGCGCGCTCGACACTCAACGTGTCCCCGCTCCCAATTGGAGAGCCTTGAAAGGTGGCGTATACTTATACAAAGTATGTAATGCACAGGACTGGGTTTGAATGGAAATTTATTTCTCAATTCTCCCAATTCTATCAAGTGCCTTTATAAAACAAACATATTACTTTTTAAATTTTTTATTGCGGAAACCTTGTCTCTCGCTTTAAGAAAACTATTCCAAAAATCATTGGGTATATTCAAAAAAAATTGCAGATCATCTCAAAAGCAAAAACGAAGTGCACGAGCCTCTGCGGAACCACACGCTCGCAGTGTGCTGTAGACGCATCATGGCGTGTCACGCTCGTGGTCATGCCGATGATGGCCGCTTGTCAAGCCTCGTCCCTACTTTGTGCGCCTCTAGCCGCCCTCGGGAGCCTGTCCGCTTTGGGGACCGTGAGCATGGGAAGTTGTCAAGGCGCTCGCTCACTCGCATCTGAGTTGTGCAAAACAATATGCAAGACACTGTAATCTCTTCTCAGCCCCCATTGATCCATCTCCCTCACGCATCTCAACTCCCCAACCGTCTGACGGCGGTGTGGCGGTGTTTGTTTTGCCTGTTCAACCATCAAAGGCTAGCTCTTCCCATAGCAGTGCCGCTGCCGGCACCAAAGGCATCAAAAAGCCCAAGTATTCCAAACATCCCCCCTCCTTCGCCTATTCAACCGTTGGACGAAGAATCAGAGAGCTCTGTTGAGACTGTGCAGAAGGGTAAGCGCAAATGTGGCGCCATATGCAAAACGACCAGTACACCTTCCTTTCTCTTGTATGCCATTCCTTTTAAACTAATGTTTCTCTTCTTCTATGTTTTAGAGAGTAGCAAGACGAAGGCTGCCAAAGCCAAAGGCAAAGCCACGCCTTCTCCCAAGCATCAGCAAAGGGCCATGTCCGAAGAAGTTGTGGAGGATGGCCCTTTAGCGGGCATTCATAAATCGACTCTGTGCTCGGCACACCACTCAGCACTACAGGCGCAGAAAGGTACAAGTTCTAAGTTTTATATTTCATTTACTCCTACTTACACATCGATTCCCTTTATAGCTCTCGAAGCCTCGCCTCCTCCAGGCTTGGGCGAACCCGCGCAGCCAATCCTGAGAGGTCAGATTGCCATGAAGGACATCCCCATCCAGGGTTTCTCCATGGCCTATCTGCATCAGATTTCCGAGCCCTTGGGATCTCTTGAGGAATTCTCCGGAGTCCGAATGCCTGCCTGCTGCTCTAAATGTGACAGCGCATCTTTCGGTAAGTTTTTATTAAACATTTCATTGACTTGATAAATTTTTGGCTAACACTTCATTAGACACCCGCTTGTTGCACTAACTGTGCCTACTATTACGATCAACAAGGAATGGCCAAATGCGAGTTTGTGGGCTGGGACGTTCCCTGCCGACTTTGCACTTCGGCCAACCATCCTGGTTGTACTTTCATGGCACACCCCAAAGCACTTGCCCAGATCGCGCTTGCAATCGAACCAAGGGGGTGCTGGGAGCCGAATGCCGGATGGGGTCCTGGTAGGTAGGTTTGGCCGTGAGGCCGCTTTCAAAATTTTTGGAACACCTCCAAAAACTCACATTTTCATGGCTTTCTGAGCATGTTTGCAGTTCCTACATGATTACTGAACTGTTTCTATACTTCTGGGGCTCGTAAATACTATAATTCCTCCAAAATATACATGGATTCTCCTATAAGTTGATTTGTAATACCCACAATTTCGCCCAATGAAGTCTCACTCAAGGCTGGCAGTATCTGTTGCACATTTGACCCTCCTCTACGTGATCAGACCTCTCTCTTTTGGCTGCTTTGCACATAGAAACAGAAGAGCATGTCACAGGTATTTAATTTAGAAACCTAATGATATCTTCATGTTAAGAAAACTTATTTAGGTGCCCACTACAAATGTTGAGCTGGTTACGGACAGTGAAGGACGTATCATTTGCCCTGATTGCAGCACTCCTGTCAACTGTGGCCCAGGCGGGCTGCTAAACCTGGAAAAGCGACACCGAGGAAGCAAAGCATGTCAAAATGCGAAGGCAAAACACGATGTTGACAGCACGAAGAAAAAAAATGGATCACTACTCACATTCATCAAGCAGGGAGTCCAGAAACCGGCCTTCATCCCCTCGACAGTGAGCAAGATACCACCAGTAATTACTCCAGCTGCTCCTGCCAAAAAATCCCCACCACAAGCACCATCATCTTCACCAAATTCTTGACCATGCCCTGTGCCAGATGTCATTACAATGAGCTTCTTCGAAAGATTCCATGCAGCAGTACAAGCCTTACCCAATAGCATTCCTGAAGCAACATCTGATGACAAGTTGGCGGTGTTCAGTGGCCACCCATCGACATACGATGATCCGAGCATGGAAGGTGATCAGTTGTGGGAGGAGGTTTTGAATGAGCAGTTGAAGGGAGCTCTCGGCTGGGGGCAGGAGGCGGACATGGATGACATTATCCAGCATGGAAGGAATGGATTAGATGGACTGGAAGAGTTTGTGAAATACTTCATTGTGAAGTGTGGTGTCAGCAAAGCACTATTTGAAGGAAAACTCTCCCACTTATTGAGCAAACTACAGGAAAAGTTAGTATTCCTTCGGTTTAACATAAAATAAATGGCACACAACACTATTTCTGGCACTGTTTGTTAAGAGCCGTAGTCAGCGAAGTCCCAACATCATTGTCAGCCGCAGGTGAAGCACCTAAATCCCCACCAATGAAGAGACCTGACATTCAAGTTGTCGATGTTGATGCATTTGTTTTCGAGGATATGGATACCCTGCCATCAAGCCGAAGAACGTTGTCAAAAGAAGGCTTTTGTTCTGGATATGCCCTTGTAGTCTCAAGTGAAAAATCAGCATACTCAATGTACCCATGGGCTCTGCATGACGAGTTGGCGCTTCCTTGGAGCACTAGGACCGACTGCGAAACAGGCTTGCTAACTCTCTTTGCCCGCAATTGCAAACAGGTGTTGACTGGAAAGGAAGCTTCGTGTACGGCTTGTCAGCAGCTCATCAACAACAAAACCTTGGAGGGATTCTCAGGCGAATGGAGAAGGGTGTTAGCAACAAGGCGGGGCATGCTTACCACGGAATTGATGGACTATGTGAGATAATTCGGCGCAAAAACAAGCAGATCGAGTTCTACAAATTCCGTGGCCTCAATCAGGCAAAGAAGCTGCTTGTCAGCGCAACCACTTTATCCCACCAAAAATGACTGTTGATGGCAATTGCAAGTGGCAGAGTTGAGCATGTCAACCATCTCATCAGTATAGGTCTTCACCAGAAGAAAGGAGTGGAGGCACTGTACCAGTCATATGAAGATGCTGCCAAGGGGATCTATCGTCTAAGAGGCTTCACGGAAATGGAGGACATGAAGGCTCTATTGATTTGGAAGCTTGCTGGCAACTGAGTCGCTGAAATCAACCATCATGCAAATGCAGCACTGAGCGTCACTTACCTGTGCAGTCGTTCAACCATCCCTCCAATCATCCCTTCTGTTGGACAACCAACGATTGATCAAGTCCAGGGGAATACTGATGTGACTGTCAAGAGCATGGTGGATGTTCTCCAGGTGCGGTTATCATCAGGAGTGAAGTGGAACCATGCAGTTTTGATGTTTGACGAGTTGGCTACGGAGAAG